CCCAACGTACATTATATACACGCGTATATTAAACTTACGATGCCTAATTTTTTCACAAATACTATTTGTATCTTTGTCCCATGTTCCCGTCGACGTACAAATCAAATGTAAAACATTCGCTTTGAATTCTTCGTTACAAGTCACTTCGCACTTCTCTCCAACATATCCCTGACATAGCGAAGAAATATTTCCATTACTGATTTCCAAGGGACAACTTTGCTCTGAAATGAAATGTCATTCATCGATTCGCAAGTGCAAAGAAATTGAAATCACAAGGGAATATTATTATATAAAGCTAAATATAGATTACAAAGTTAACGTTAAGAAATTTTGAAAATTGCATATTTTAAGATATATATATCTTTACATATTATCTTTGATATTTTGAACTACCGAAAAAAAAGTTCTCAAATCCATTGCATGAAAAATATTGTCTTACGCTTGCATAACTCGGCAGTATTTTCATTCCAGGTGCCGCTCGATATTCAAGAAATACTTTGAGGGAAAACGATAGGTTTGTAGTTAATGTCACAAGTAAATGAGCAGTTGTTTCCAATTTGCTTTTGACAATCTGGGTCTAGTTTCCCGTTTTGGATCATTTTAGGGCATAATCTTACTGGGTAAAAAGTTAACTGATGGCGTTAAAGCTGTTTAATGCTTTCATTTTATGACATCCATTAATTTCATATTTCAGATGAAATAAAACTTACCACACAAATCGCCTGTGTCATGATTCCAGTCACTGCTTGAACTGCAAGTAACATTTGGTAATGACGGATTCATTTCAAAAGGACTGTTGCATTCATATCGACATGTTTCTCCGATGTTTGACTGACAGTTTATAAATTGGCCATTTTGTATACTCCTTGAACAACTAGAACCTAGATAACATTACAACAATACGTATACATGAAGTTTTTAATGCCACAATACGTTCGTAAAACTATTTTACCATTTACCGCCTATCACCTTCAGTCATTGGACACAGTGACTTCCATTTTTGATTCCTTTTTACAATGTAGCATAGTTCTATGGAACCCTGCGAAGTTGAATTATTGGATGTGACGATTAAATTAAGTCCAACTTGACACATCTGAGATTTTCCATGTCAACATGTTACATGTACTTTAATAATCACTTGAAGTGAAAAGGTTTTACACGTTTCTGTTAATTTTAAATATTCAAATGTTATTCCAGTGAACATATACTTAAGTTTAATAATGATATCTTGATTATGATAATTGCTTAAAAACCCCTATCAATACAGATACATTCTTAGAATCATAAATTTAACAGAACTTTGCAGAAAAAAATGTATCATTTGTTTCACGATGTTAGCAATATTGCATTTGCTTACACTTGCATAATTCACCAATCGGTTTGCTCCAAGTGCCGTCTGAAGTACAAATAAGGTTTTGAGAAGTAATGGTTGATTTGTGACCTGTTTTACATGTGAATGAACAGGTACTACCAATAGTTCTTAGACAATCTGGTCCTAGGTTTCCATTTGGGATTGTTGATGTGCATAATTGTACTGAAAACAATTTATCATATTTCTTAAAGAGAAAGAAAAGAAAATTCCATTGTTAAATATCCTTTCGTCTAATTCTCTTTAAGTGAGAAGTTATAGAAAAGCATAAATCATTTGTATCATGACTCCGTTTACCGGTTGTATTGCAAGTTATATTTAAAAATATGGAGATAACGTACAGTGTTTAAGCTCAAAGTCCATTAAAACAATACAAATCGGGAGCAGAGCAAACGCGGACCTCCAAAATTACCAGAGATGGGATTAGAACTGAGGGATTTATTTCATACTAATTGTTAGGCCATTATTTACACACTGAATTGTCGATGGATTTTTCCGTTATTTCCCGATCATGACAAGGAGCACACGGCGGGTGTGACCGGTCGGCAGGGGATGCTCACTCCTCCATGGCACCTGATCCCACCTCTGATGTTTAGAGGTCCGTGTTTGCTCTGCTCCTATTTTGTATTGTTTAATGGACTTTTGAGCTTGAATACCGTTCGTTATCTCCATATATTTCATTCCAAAGGAATAGTGCATTCATAACGACACGTCTTTCCAATTTTTGCCAAACAATTAATTAATTTAACATTGTCTATCGTTCTTGGGCAGCTAGAACCTTGAAACGTATTGAATTAATATTGCATTTTGCTTTAAAGGACCTATTTCATTATTTCATAACTTTTAACATTGCTTTTATATTCCGTTAAAATTCGTACATATTCGACAAATTGATTCTTGATAATTCTCATTATTTTACGTATTTAACCTCCCAATAAAATACCAATTAAGAGATTTTGTGGATTCTTACGTGAGCATAAATTGTTGGTATCCAGGTTCCATGAACCGTTCATAGTGCACATTAAATTTTGCAAAGTCGTTCTACCATAGCCTTCTGAACACTCAAATGTACATGATTCATTCACTCTTCGCGAACAATTTGATGATAGAACAGCATTTGTTAAGGATGGTGAACAAAACATCTCTGAAAATAAGAAAATGTTTTTATTATATAAACAACTAAAATATGATAAATAATGTATTAGATAATAAATCGACCAAGCAAAAAATTATTTTAGTTCAAAAAGTTTTTTTATAGTACAACGAAGAATTTTCGCACAAAACACTACAAAAATTTCGATTCCCCTGTTAAATACAAATTAGATTAACTTCCTTAACATTTTTGTATCATGATGTTGCTAAAAAGTTTGGATTTAAATTATGGAATGAATTTAAAAGCTACCCAATTTATACGGTATAAACTGGGTTGGGATAGTTTACGCTTAATAAATCGCAAAGCCGTTTATAAAAAGGCGTAAACTGTTCCAATGCAGTTTATACCGTATAAATTGGGAACCTATTAAATTCTTTTCTTATAATTTGATTTAAAACATTTGATGTAAGAAAAAAGAGAAGACTGCTCTTTATCAATGTACAAAATTCAAATATAATATAAGCTTGATCGATACGATTTTGACGCAAGTCATTGTGACGTAGTCAACCCAATTTATACGATATAAAGTAATTTTTTTCCAACCAAATACCACGTTATAACCAAAATTAAATTAAATTCAGGAAATAACATTTTAAAAATGAAATTAAACGTAAAAAAGGGGTAATTGTATTGATAGAAAGTTCAATGTCAGTATATCTTAGTTAGTTTTGAAATCTACAATACATAAAAAGAAAATCATAAATATAAATGTTCTAAATTCCAATTTTTGATGGAAAATCCATCTTCTCCTCCTATACACTGGAAATGTATTTTGAATGTTTTATTATTTACACAATCTTTATAATTGATTTTAGATGATATCATTGCTTGAAACGCCATTTTTCAAGAAATGATTTCCATAAAGTGTCGAAATAATATCTCAGGTATCAAATTGTCATCATAGCGAAAGAAAGAATATAATATTAATTTTATCATAGTACAAGTGAATTATTTCAATCTTTACTAGAATAATGAAAATTTTAAAATAGTAAATTTTTCTTAGGGAATATTGCGTGTTGGAGAAATATTATCTCTTCTTTGGATCCCTCTTTATGCATAGAATAACTTCTTAGTTGGTCCATTACCTTCCAGCATATCCCAGTATGCAATGTACTTGATGAAGTATTATTACAAAATACACAGTGTAGATCGGAAATAACTGTCATTTTTCATCCTGTATATATTTTTAGCAGGACCTGCCATAGCGTTGATTCTTCAGATAGGACCAATATCACCAAGTTATTTATGGATTTATTTCAAGTAAGATAAATGGTTCATCAAGCTTACTACACACGATTTCCTAATTCAGACGGTGATCAGAAATACACAATGTCCCAGCTCTTACAAGAAAAGAGAAATATCTTGAAAACTAAAACCACAATTACATGTAAATGTAAAGCATATTTTAGTAGCAAAATGTATATTGAATTATGTGCGTAAATAACTGAAACCTGAACAAAGAGATGTCAAGGGTGGATCCCATTGGCCAAACGGGTTACATGTAACAGACGTGTTGACAGCACGTCTAAATCCAGTCTTGCATTCAAATTCACAGGTTTCTCCAGGAAAAGCAAGGCAGTTTAGCAAATTGATATTTGGCAACGAAAAAGTGCAGCGGGATACTGTTTAGATAAAATCATGTATACGTGAAACTAAATAATAAAAATATTTGCTTTTGTAAAACTGATATTTTGACGCAAAGAAATGTGTTTAAGTCGCAACATTTTGTCGGGTTTCTTTTTATGTTACTGTCTTTTTAAATTGCATAAATCGATAGAAGTAAGTAACTAAATAAAGTTTATTTCTTTTCTTTTTTACTGCATATTTAAACTTGGAAAAAATACTAGGGTTACTTACATGATAACCTTAATCTTGACGTATGAATTACCTTTCTCAAAAATATTTACAATTCAAGAATATTTTACAATGACATCATACATTTTATATTTTCATATGCCAGATATGGCGTGAGTGTGAAATTTACATGAACAACGATAGGCATCAAACAGTAATGATATATTGCGCACTTTATGTTTTTTTTGGGGTACGATAGTGAATAAAAGTGATGGTGAGAGAGAATTTAAAAATTAAGAAAATCAAATTGTAGGCCGATGATGTGTTTTTGCTGAATATCTAATATTGTTTAAATATATCTTCAAATATGCGACAATAATTTATACAATTAATCAATAGTAGTTGAATATTTTCACCTTTTTATCATACTTAAGAGATTTTTATTAATTAACTTCTAATAAAAAGTATAACCTCCTTGGCATGTTCTTCCGTCTGATTGTAAATTAACATTATCCTGACATCCACATGTTCTACCAGTTGGTGTTGGAAAGCAGAATGTACTACAGTTACCGTTCTTCTTTGAACAAATAGCGTTCACTATAAAAACAAAAAGTAGATCATTGATTGCTATTAACTGTACTTTTGCATTTCTTTTTAATAAACTCATACTCATTAAAGGAAAAGTTACTTACCGTCAACGGAATCGTCTGCATATATATCCAGACTATCCAGTCTACCAAGCTCCGGGTGATTTGGCATAAAGGATAGTTGAACACCTGTTGTTTTATCCAATTTTGTAATGCGTCTAAGTTTTCAAAAAGGAATATAAAATGAAATAAGATAATGTATAATAAATCGATTAAAAGAGTATGTACAGTATGTACGTTACGTACACGAAGTGGACCAATTATCCTTAAATGTCTTTTCATAATTCTGATACGTCTTATAAAATCTACAGGAATCGTCAATCAATATAATACATTTATGGCCTCTATTATGCCATCTTAAAAATATGTTTGCTTGTCCTCTCCAGATTGGGATAAAAAAAAAATGGGTAATTAGGTAGGGGCAATTTTTTTTTAATTCAAGAATTCAGGCAAATATGAAGTTAAAATAGCTATTAAAGAATAATAAAAATAATTGTTTCCTAGAGGTTAAAACAGTTTTAAGTCGGACCGTTTTTAAGCAATCGGTCGGGAGAAGGCAAACAAACATTTTTTTAAAAGATGGCCTTACTTGTTATAGAAATATAATATAGCATAGGAATGCACGTCGAATTCATAAAGAACTGGTCTGCAACAATTAATAGGATACTGCAGCAAGTTTTTTAACCTTTCGTGCAACTAGAATTACCATTTTGATGGGAGATAAAACAGTATAAGTGTTGATAAACATGGACAAAATTGAATACGGTACTCATTCCTCATTTACCATTGTGAGTGCATAACATTTGTGCTCTGAAAATCATGCCAATAATGCTCCATTAAAAACTTAATATTCCTGAAATAAGTGTTTAATACAAATATCACGGGAATGTAAATGATATAGAAATTAACAAGGTTAAACAAAATAAAATATATAATTCTGACACTCTAGTGATACAAGAAAGTGTTAGTTTTCATGCATGTGCAGATAAATAAAAAAGAATATATAAAGCAGCGTTATATCTTTAAAATAAATTTTAAGTTTTACTTAAAAAATTTTATGTACATTAGAATGCTCTGCGTATAATAAGAGTTATCGCGCTTGCATTATCCTTGGAAGTTTTTGGCGTGTCAAAATTAGGAGAGGCAAATGCAAGTGATTCTTGGAAATGAAAACATTTAGTAAATGCCCAATGAAAATCATGTGCGGTTAAAATCTGGACCCGGTCGTCCAGATAGCGTCGTTTTTTTCAGTTTCTTTTAGGACGCCGTGAAAAGTACATGATATTGTGTGTTGGATAGCTTCAAATTATTTTAAGCCGCCTCCACCCCGCCACCTTTTCCTTTTTTAAGGAAGTCCAATTCTGTCTATATCTTCTTTTCTTTGTTTTGAATTGGTTTTAGGTAGTTTTCGGTTTCAGACAACAAGAAGGTTTTATATATTATGTAATCAATTACGCCACATATTAGGTGATCACTGTTTACATATCAATCATATTCATAATTCGGCTTCATTCTGTGTGAATTTTTGATACAGATAATAAGAAGTTAATTAATAATTTTATGGATTTCGTACTGTCGATTCCATGCAGTATAATAGAGGTATTGTCCTTGAACCACAATGCTCATCAAATGTGCGTCAGTGTCTGTTGTCAAAACATGCCTGTTTTGACCGTTTAAATCTGAATATTCTATGCTGTTCTTCAAACCATCAACCCAAAATAATTTGTTGGCTAAAACAGATTAAAAACTATATTTTTTACTTGTCACAGGAACAATCCATTCGTAAAAAATATTAAAAAGAATGAAGTAAACAATTTTTCTTACTGGCAAAGTCAATAGCTAAGCCGTTTGGCCATCCAAGATTGGTTGTTGCGATATATATTTTGGATGTTCCGTCCATATATGACCTACTTATTTCAGTTATATTTCCAAACGCTGTCCAGTATAAAAACCTGATAAGGAAACGGACAAACTATAAACTGTGGATTTGAAAGAATCCATATCAGAGGTATTTGTTGGTAACATATACCTTTAATTACACAAGACAATATTCTGTCTGGCTAAAATCTGCCCGGCTCCTAAATCAACTTTAATGAAGAAGTCATTAATTATGTTATAAGCTAATGTGATACCTTAAGACTTATATTAGCATTCAATATTTTCTTCAATTGTTCTAGGTTGTCAGTTCGAAATATCAACGATTTTGGGAGCAAATAGCATTTTTATGATAATATTTCAGAAGAAAGTCACCAAGCGCAAATCTTCTCAGACTCGAAATTTTCAATGTAATGCGTAGAATAATAATAGCAATATATTTTATTTTATACTGAGTACATGAGCAAACTTGCATAAATACTATAGTCAAAATTAAACAAATTTCAAATTTTATGCAAAAAAAAAAAAAAAAAAAAAAAAAAAAAAAAAAAATTTGAATCAACGAAAGTTTGTGACGTCAGAGAGAAAAAATCCAAAATCCAATTCATATATATATATATATATATATATATATATATATATATATATATATATATATATATATATATATATATATATATATATCAGATTGTACAAAAATTTATTGTGTACATCTCAAGAAATTTTCAATAATTGACTTTTACTGGGACAGAAGTATGACTTTACCGAAAATATTTTTTTTGTCAGATATATCTTTTTCTAAGTTAAATCGGGCTGACATTTTTTTAAACACATAGCAATATATGTATTAACGTACCCTTTCGATGGATATACAACAATTTCTCTTGGACTCTGCAAGTTTGTCAACAAAGTTTTTTGAAGTAAGCTCTTTCTATGTATAACTCCAATATAACTTTGAGTCTGGCTAGAACCTACTGCAGTGAAGTAAATATTTCCCGTTGAATAGTCAATAGTCAAACGATCAGCATAAGTAAAACCTGTATATAGTAAAGAAAAATATGCTCAGTGTCCAAGCAACAACAATTATCCGATAGCTACATATAAGGAATGAGTTATGAAGTATCTTTAAAAAATCCATCGTCAATACCTGTGGTATAGATCAAAGATGTGTTTTTTCCAAGAAGTGTTGTGGACATGATTGTTTTTGTTTGTACTTCTGAGTAAAAGAGTTCCATTGTTGATTTATCAAATGTCATCCCTGGAGAGTTTTGTATACTTATCGACAATTTGACAATGTTTCCTGTGTTAATATCAACTTGAAGGATTCGGCCATGAGAATAATCCAAAACTATAATAAAGTTCTTCGAAAAAGAATCTAAAAATTATAGTTGAGAGAAATAAGGAATAAAAGAAATCTAAGAAGATAAATAAAACTTTTATAGATTGAATAAATTTGATGAAGAAATTGAGCTGAAAAATAGTACTTACTGCTTTCGCATTTCAAATCTTTCACTTGTAGTCCAAAATCGCACTCGCATTTCCGTCCATTTTGCAAAGGCAAACACATGCCTTCACAACCACCATTCAGTATTTGACAACTACCTATATTTTGAAAAAGTTAAGAATTTGAATGTGATGTAGAAAATGCCTATAAGTAGGATTTTTTCCAACTCTCTCATCTCAATTTTATAATACTCATGTAAATATTTACGTTTTCTGAGGGGATGACATTTAGTCTAATTCAGATCTAGAATTCTTTTGATGAAAGTATTCAAATGGTATGACAATGATAAAACTCTTCACCAAACTAGTACAAAAATGAGAATAATTTAAATTGGATTTCATCATTATTGTCATTTAGCCTCTGTGTTTTTTTATACTGATCCTATTAACTTTGGACTTTACCTCTTCAAAGAATCAAATATGGCAATATGTTTTATGTTTTGTATTACATCTACTTCGTACTCTGCAGACACAGCAGACCTTCTAGCAAAATACGTTTTGTTTCCATTTATCCAACCAAAAAAGTCCTATAATTAAAATACATAGATAAAAATGAAAAGTACAGACAGGTCTAACGATGAGTCCAAGATTATTACATTTAAAACATTTTTGTTATTTTAATCCTTTGTGGGTTTTTTTTTGTACATCATATAGCATAATAGATTTGGATATTTAAAACCTTTACATTTAGTCACCCATAACCCTACATTAAGTTAAAAAAAAACTTGACTTAATCGACAGTTTTTTTCCCCAACTTAATGTACTATTACAGGTAACTTCATGTACAGGTTTAATGTTAAAAGCAAGAAAAATACACTAAACACATACTATTTTGCGGACTTCAACAGTAATGAAAATAAGCAAATTTATTGTTAATTTAATACACAATTACGCATAAATATTAAATATTTGTATATGAAATTTTCTACAATATATCATCTTTGGAGATGACAAATCAAATGCCAAAAAGACACATAATATCCTGATGCATAATAATTTCACAACATGCACATAAAGATGTTTCTTCATAGATAAACGTATGGCTCATCCTTTTCACAAAATTTATACATGAATGCTGATCGTATTGACTTTCGGGTACTCAATGATTCTTGTAGGCACGTGTTACTTTAAGTTTCACATTTCTGTGTTGTAGTCCACCCCTATTACTTTTAGGTACATCCTCTTTGTACTCAAGATATCTAAGGCCAATAGATTTTTTTTATGATCGACATTTGACTGTATTTCCCAACATGCAGGTTACGGTGCTCTTGGCCCGATCTCAGTGCAAAATTCAATCCAAGCACGAATAGCAAAGTATCTAATAGTTTTTGTGGAGTATCAGTTCCAGGAATATTCATTCTCCACATAACTTCTACTTATTCTTACGAGATGACTTCTGCTCACTTCCTATCGATTCCTAGACCACGCCCGACAATTCCGTCATTTAGGAAACGAGAACTCCATAGAATGAATAAATAAATCCATAGAATGTTTCATCATCAAAAAAGCTTAGAAATCTTCCCGTTTGTTTCATGTGGTGTTGAATGGAACACACAAGTTCATAAATTGTATTAGGAATATAATCTTTACCTTTCTGATTTCTTACTTCCATAACAAAGTAACCCATGGTTTTCCTCCTCAGACATTTCCAATGTATTTTTCCTTAATTTAAAAGTCTCTGTTCCTGTTACTTTGTTCTTCCTATCTGCTTGCCACTTTTTCCATAGATTAATAGCCCATTTTGTCTTCTCCCCTGCTTTCTTTGAGAGACACTTCTTCTGTAAGTTATCTAATTCGTCTTGATTAAGTGGTTTTAGAAATCTCTATATTCTCAACACCTTGGCTAGCTTCCACTAATTCATCCTCGGAAAATTCGGAGAACAAATCCAGTTTAAAATCAAATTGTGGTTGTGATTTGCTATCTTCGGTATCCATATCTTGTATGTCACTCCAAATCCACCTGTATTGACACTTTCCTCGGAATATGTATTTTTATTGAGTCAGAAATATATTTTCTCCATTCGATGAGGACATCTGAAGCTTTACATGAGAAGTAGTCAGAAATCAAGTGAGCTATCATTTAAATCTAAATTTACCTTGCACTGTCCATTAAGTTCAACAATGCACCTTTATTTCATTCTCCCTTTTGTTGTTGTGTTTTTAACGTCACTCACTCTCTGGAGCCGTCAGGGCAGCTTAGTCGGTAGAGTGCTCGCTCCGTGATCGGAAGGTCGTGTGTTCGAATCACGACCGCGACTGCGCAGCTCTGTTAAGGCTGCATAAGGGGAGCGGGGCCTAATTTACACGGGAAATGTCTACTTTGACATCACACAAATATAGCAATTCCTCATAACAATAGAAAATGAAATAATATGTGGTTCTAAACTGCATAAGAGTGATGAACTACATCAAAACTTACCGCTGCGTTCATTTTTGTTGCTAGTTAAATCCCACACAGCAAGATATAAACAAGTCACTTATCGCAATGCACTTGTCGACATGACGTCATCATGGTAAAATTTGACGCATTTTATGTACAGTGAGAGGCGGATCAAGTAATTTTTCCACAGTGAAAAACGCATTTTATTATTAAACAGAATATTATTTGCAAATCTTACGTAGACCATTAATACAAATCTGAAACTTTTGTTTAGTGCCATCATTTAAAAACTATCGAGAGAATGTATTGAATTAATTCTACCGTGTTTTTGTATGCAAGGTGTGCATGTTTCACGCCGAGGTGCCTCATTAAATCTTTTCGCAAGGGCATATACTCAAAAGATCTTGACCATTTTTTGAATATGTATAACGGAAACATTCCTTAAATTGAAAAGTGCTGCTGCTTTTCTGAAATCGAGAGCATTACTAAATAAATAAATAAAATACATGATAAAGGTCACACATATTTCGACTAGAGCCAACTAACTTGAAAATTAAACTACTAAAATGCGATTTCTATTTAAAGCAGTACCACTTTTCATAAACTACAAGTAACATAGATACAATTCATTACTGATTTTTTTTATTCTAACTAGGGTATGCCCTTGCGATATTGAAATTTGTTTATGACCTACACACATTACACATTACATGCATTTATCAAGTGACCGTCAAATAACGTGACCAAACCAAATTCCGTACAGAGCGATGTTATTTCAATTAAAATTAAAGTCATGTGATAATATAGTAGCTTTACAAAAATAAATTCAGTTTAAAAAGGTATGTATTTATGCACGTTTATATTCTGTTGATTTCTTCGTAGTACGCCTTAACAGTCCTGCGTGACCTAAGTCGATAATAAATAGGTAGAAACTGTTCCTTCGCCAAGCGCTCGGCACTTTGAAGTGAAAGTTGCGGGTCCTTTGGATGAGACCTTAAAAACCGAGGCCCCGTGTCACGGTAGGCGTTGGCACGATGAAGATCCCTCATTGCTCAATGGCCCTGAGTGCCCAGTAAAGGTCAAAATTTGAAGTCCTTCACCGGTATATGGTGACGTCTCTATATGAGTGAAAAATTCAATGGGACGTAAAACAACAATCAATCAATCAAATCAATCAATCACTCTCTGGACAATCAAGTGTGTTACATAATCTTAGCAAATACACAACCATCGCCTTGGATAGTTTATTAAGTTAACAATAGAGAAAATGTTTTAAGTAGGGTAAAATCCATAAGAGAATAGTTATTTTTTTCTCACAAAATAGACAGTTTTAAACTGTCTACTTCGTAAAAGAAAAAACTATTCTCGGCCCTACAGGCCTTGAACAGTTCTTTCTCTAACACAATGAACAGTTTTCTTAGTTAATCCTTCACGTAAGCATGTTTGAAGAAGATGCAGAATTCATAACTAAGAATGTAACGACAATAAACTTATTTTCTAAATTGTGTAACAGCGACTTTGATTCTGCAAATCTTATTTTTATGACGTAGTCGATGATATATCTATCTGTCCTAAAGTATACTCTTCAAAATAAGAAACGCATAAAAGGAACAATACCCTGAAAAATTTATGATAGTTTTGTCATACAATTTTTTTAGATGGTTATGATTTATTCGAGTAAATTGTGTTATTTTTTCAGGCATTGTAATTGTACAGCTATTCTACAAATCTGACAGACAAAAAGGCTTGATTTTGCAAAATGTGAAAAAGATATTGTTGTGCTTTCGCAATGGTGTGGGTTCTAGTTGGCACCACGTGGATCCAAAAACCCGGGAGAGAACAAGAAACACGTCTGTCTACTTCAGAGTTTAATTTTGGAACCACATAATTATTGACACACCGAATCCGACGGTAAATACGCAATTACACTACATTACTCCCCTCTTAAAAAAGAAAATGTTACATTTTCAATAAACATATAAAAATAAAAGAATACAAAGCAAAATGTTCAGTTTAGTTTTCATATCTCTGTGGGCGTTTTACTGTTCTCCCACCCCTTGTAACTACTCCTTGGTCCAGCTTCTTGGTCGTTGGTTTCTCCGTAACAGGGACTACTGCATCATCCTTCTTGGATGCCTGCCCCTCATTCTGTAGGCTTGATTCTGTGAACCAAACATCATCGTTTCCTTGACTATCCTCAACTTCATCTGTACATTCTTTGAAAAGTTCGTCAAAGTCCATACAATATTTTAACTGGCGACGAACTTTGGCAATCCATCTTGGCAATGTATCAACTTGACATGGCTTCAGGCGATCATGATGAAGAGTGGTAAAACCTTTTTTCGTTATTATATGATACAAAACTGGCCCCAACCTTTTGGAAACAACTGCTGGTCCTTTCCAGAGAGGCTGAAGTTTTGGACTCTTTCCTATTCTTTTAGCGTCATCCTTGATATAGACGAGGTCACCAATATTATATGTCCTCTCATACAGCCTTACATGTAAGTCATGCAATCTTTTCTGACTTTTGGATGCCTTCTTCAAGTTCTGACGAGCAAGATCCTCGCACTTCTTCATAGATATCCTTAGTCGTTCGACAAAATCTGACTCATCGTGCTGCTCTGATGGATGTAGCCCAAAAATGACTTCCTGTGGGAGGTGAACGTCATGACCCAGCATTAGGCAGTTAGGTGTCAGTCCTGTGCTAGTGTGTGGCGTACTGCGATATGCCCCAGCAAGGAGCGGGAGATGGGTGTCCCAATCATCTTGGTTTTGACTAACAAAACACCGCATCATTTGTACCAGGGTTCTGTTGATCCGTTCTACCAGTCCGTTGGAAGACGGATGACAAGGAGTTGTTCTCGTGTTTGCCCATCCCATCAGTGAAGCCAACTTTTTCATTAATTCGCTGTCGAAATTTCGCCCCTGATCTGTATGTATTTCAACAGGTTCACCAAACCGAGCAATAAACTCTTTTACCAGTATCTCAGTTATGGACTCGGCAGTTTGGTCAGAGAGCGGGTAACACTCAGTCCATTTGGTAAACTGATCTACTAATACAAGAATATACTTGTTCCCTTTTTTAGAAATTGGAAAAGGCCCTAAGATGTCTAATTGCACCCTGTCTAGTGGGGAACCTGCACAGTA